CAAAAACAGCAGCCCACGTCGCTGCAGGCTTTTGTGCCGGCGGAGCAGCGCCAGGCTCTGCGGTTGTCGCTTCCAGCCGTGTCTGGATTTAACGTATAGAGCAGACACGTGGCAGGGAGAAGAGGTAATGTCTAGCGGCAAGAGAAAAGGGAGGTGGGGGAACGAGTTTCAGCCCCGGCGCTGATTTGCTTCGAAGCCTCACGCAGGATTTTGTCTCTGTTCCCCTGTCTCTACAGGGAAGAGAGGAATACTTGGCTGCTGTTGGGCTCCGAGTCTCTCTGACCCTGGCAGTGGCTTTAAAGTGCTGCTAAGCAGGAAAATCTCGTGCAGTGATTGAAAGATCCAGGCGGTCGAGGTGGGCCGTGGAGCTGGCGGCTCCGCTGGGGGACACGTTGGTCCGCGGGGGCTTTGAGCGCTCCCGGGATCCACGTCTGCCTGGCACTCGCCCTTCCCGCTTGCCTTGCAAGTGCTGAGGCTGATTCCAAGCAGTCCTGCAAACGGAGCCATGCACGGAGCGCGGGGCAGTGCACGGAGCAGTGCATGGAGCCACACATGGGGCAGCGCATGGAGCAGTGCATGGAGCATTGTACGGAGCATGGAGCAGTGCACAGAGCAGTGCATGGAGCACGGAGCAGTGCATGGTGCATAGAGCCACGCACGGAGCAGTGCCCAGCGTGGCCGTGCCCCGATGCAACTGCCAGCGTGTGCAGTGCTTGTTCCCACCGGCCTCTCCCGCGGCACCGGCTGTTCTCCTTGGGCCCAGCAGCTCCAAGGCTCCAACATCTCTGCGGCAGCAGAAGGAGAGGGAACGGTTGCCGAGACCACGTCTGCAGCCTGCACATCTTATGTGCAGCGAGCACATCTTAGGCAGCAACAAGCCAGTTTGTCCTAAATCTGATTTTCTTCTTTTTTTGAAGTGACTCTATGGTAGTTAAAGGGATCTAGCTCAGATAGTGCCTGCTTGTGCCCGCTTTTAGTTCCAGTGACACTGTCAGGGTAGGCACAAGTCCATAGAGGAAGYGCGGCTCAGGCCACGGTTTGGCACATGGCAACATTCCTGTTTCAAGCAGCTGGCACAGGGTTACGGGAGCAGGACGGGGAGATGATCAGGCTGAAGTGTAAACTAGGAAGGGAAAAAGGCAGCTCGCTGCCTGCTCCGGCTGCCAGCTCCACTTTGTCAAAGCCGGGACAGCCGCTGCCTTTCCCAGTCGCCTCAGCCGAGAAGACGCTCATGTCATCCATTGGACTTGACATCTCCCATTACCCAGCTCTACGACAGGGATCCAACCAATACTTTATAAACTCTCAGGCTGCCAAACCTTGTCCCCATGCATGACAGGGACTTTGACAATCAAGAGACTCCAACAAAGGAAGCTGAAAATGAAGTGTTTTTCCTTTGGGGAGCAATGGTACATCCTGGAGAGATTTCCTCTCCATCCACAGGCTACAAGACTTCCTYTAGTGGAGAAGGGCAGGATGCATCTCCAAGGAGCTTCCCAGATTGATGTCCAGGATGACATCTCCTATGGGATGCATGTTCCTTCTCCTGTAGCCGTGGAGCTGGTCTGTGCTCCGGCTGCAGGAGGGCAGGTAGGTGGGCAGGGGACCGTGGTGCCCTGGCACCAAGGGCATCCTCCTCAGCAAGCGCTTGTGCTACGGACAAAACCAGCAACTTCCAGCGTATTGTTCCTTGCATGAAGAMAAGCAAAGACTTTTCCGGTACGGATGGACTCTGGGGACTCCCCAACATCAAAGTATCATCCCCGGGCAAGTCGCATCTTCCCTGCTCCACACCCTGCATGTGGCTCCCTTGCAACCGTGAGAACCAGGAGCCCGTGACCCGTCGGTTCCCAGCTCGCCCGTGAGCCAGCAGATCCTCAGGGACATTGAGGGGGAAGGGTGACATACCTCCGGTGATCAAAGATACAAGTTCATTCCATCACGTGCTGCCCGCCCTTCCTGACCGCTCCCATACATAAAGTCTTGCTGCCACCCAGCCCTTGTGTGGCCAACCTTGGCTTTAAAGTCCTCGTTCCTGGGAATCCCGGAGGCATCAGGGGCAAGAGGGSAGAAAGGCAGGAGCGCCGTCTGCCAGGGTCGCTTGCAGAAGGAGAGCAGCACCCAAGGGTTTTCAGAGAAAAGGATTTTGAGAGAGGTGAGTAAACTTCACAGTTGTATTTTCTCATCTCTGTATTTTGGTTGGATTGGGGCGTGAAGTACAGCAGCCGTTGCTTCTTGCTCGCACGTGTCTTTTCAGTTCTTTAATCATGTTTTTAATCAAGGTGTTTTTATTTCATGAGCTTGCAGGCTCAGTTTGAAGAGCAAGAGCATGTCTTTTTTATGGGGACAGCAGGTCTTGACCTACTGTGTTGTCTTTGATTTCTCTCAAGTCGTTTCGTACGGGTGAAGCAAGGTTATAGGCAGTCTGTTCCAAGCTGAGCAGCAAACTCATCCATTAGGCGATTTACTGAGCAGCACTATGACTTGATAAGGCCAGTTACATGTGAAATGATGATGATAATAGGATCTGAATTTACTGATAGAGGCTGAGGTCAGAGAGCAGAGCTGTGGGTCTAAGCCAGCAGCCCTATTAATTCTACCAATACATCTCAATGTACATTTGGGCAGCTTTTTGGGTATTTTAGTGTCTCAAGGATGCATGCACCTCTTGAAAGTGTCCCACATACTGTGCAGCATAGTGTTGGGTCTTCACTCCTTATTGGKTTGAAAAGCTCTGTGGAAGGGTTGGTATTTTGGAGCATGAGTTGTGCAGTTTGTATCTGGTGATGTGGCATATGGGGGAGAGTAGTGCCAGCTTGGCAGTCAGTCTGACACAGGAGAGAGTCTCRAAACTACGAGCGAGGTCAGGGCTCCATGAGCAGTAGAAGGCAGCTTACACGGGGTCCCAAAGGAGAGAAGTTCTCAGAAGTTGTTGGGCTTCAGGAGAGGTCCCATGGAAAGCAGCCTGCTGTGAAGAGAGCTGGCTCGAAGCAGTGGGCTGAAATCAGTGCATCTTGTATCCCTCCTTTTTTTTCCACGCCATTCTGTGCTCCTAAGTGCTAGCTGGGGAACGCAGGTCCTGTGAGGATGGAGCTCACAGAGGTTTCCTGAGCTGCAGCGAGGAGGAAGGTGGCTGCAGAACCAGAATGATCACAGGGGCATTAGGGACYTCCAAGGGCCAAGAGGCAGTGGTGGTGGAGCTACCTTGTGCTCAGATCAGAGGAGAAAACCGAGCTCCTGATGGAGACAGGGAGAGAGCTCCCCGGAGCACCGCGCGCTCCACAGAGCCGGCGTCAGGGCATTCGCAGCGGCCGAGGAAGCCGGTCTGTGAAGCAGAAAGCCCTGACCTGAAGTCAATGAGGTGGGACGTGCCTGCCTCTTCTTGCAGAAACCTTCCTTGCAGGGAGGCGCCGAGGGCAGCGAAGGGGTCGGCTCTGCGCGGGAAGCGAGCGCGGCGCGCGGAGCCCCGGCACGGCTCTGGCGGCCGCCGTGCCCAGCGAAGGAGCAGCAGGGATCTCTGACCGCTCGGGGAGCCGTGTCTTTCATGCCCTGTGCTCTGCAATGTGCAAAATAAATAACGTGCTGCTGTGGCACGCTTCGTGGAACAAGCCCTCCACCAAGGACTAAGAAAAGCTGAAGCTTGCCTGTGGTCTGAGAGCTCCAGGGTGTTTGCACAGACCTGCGGCACTGGTCAGGCTAAATGAGAAAAAACCTCCAGCTGAGCGAGTAGGCATCTCATTTGTTTATTTGTTTGTTTGTTTCTTTGTTTCCTCCCCTTTTCTATTCTTTTATGTCCTATCTGCCTCTTGCATTCCCTTTTCCTCAGCCTTTCCCATCCAACACTTTGCTGCTCTTTTTTCTTTCTCGCATGTCGTTCCCTCTTCTCTTTCCCCTCTTCCTCCCCAGATTCCACTCCTCTTATTTATCCCAGGGTAGTGGGGATGAGGGAAGCCCCGTGGGACTCTGTTGCTGAGCCTGTGAGCTGTGGGGAAGGCTGGACCATTAGCTGCAAAACCATAGTCCCTACTGTGTCCCAGGAGCAGCTTTGCAAAGACAAAGGGGCTCCATCAAGCTGCAAGATGAATGGTGCAGATCAGCGCAGGTTTTGCAAAGCAGGGAGCTTGGCATGAAATTTATATTGTGTTTCAGTGCCAAAAAGATGATAAATGCAGCAGCAAGGCGAGCTGAGAGAAGAACAACGCTTGCAAAGAGGAGAGTCACGCTTTCCTGGAAGGTTTGCTGTTATCGTCAGATAGGGCTCAGGGTGAGATGAAGGTTTAATGGGTTGACCTGTGTTACTGCTGTGTTCAACTTTGCCATCCTGAGTTGCTGCAGGAAGAGCCAAACAAACAACCTTGAGTAGAAAATAGGAAATAAAGATAACATTCTTTGTAATCAAAATCAAGGAAATGTTTTTGCAAACCCAGACTGCCCTAGAAAGCTGTAATTTCTTGCCTGCTCACGTCCTCCTATACCTGGCAGCACAAGAGGACACAGAGGTAGAGGGTATTTTCTCAAGAAAAGCCCAAGAAATATCTTCTGAGATATTTCTCAGATATCTGAGATGGTCCTTCTTATAACTTAAGCCATCCAGTTGACATATCAGTACACGTGCCACAATGCTTTTGGGTTTCTTATACCCCTGGCTGGTTATCGATTCATTTAGACTTATATCCCTTATACAGCTGGAATATCACTGGGATCACTGTAACCTTACAAAAAAATTAAAAACTCAGAATCCACTGGTATGATCATAACCTTATCAATGTGACAGGAACCCTTGCTGGCTCAGAGAAGAACAAACTCAAAAGGCTTTATAGAAATTTTCCCCTTTTAAACACATTGTCCTGGCTGGCAAGAAAAGGTTAATAAACCTCAACCTTTGCCGATTATCTCTCATTAGCYGGCTTGCCTGTGCCGCAGGGAGGAGCATGCACCTGTGGCTGGTTATGGGAAATGAGGCATCTTAAAACAAGAGCAGGTCGAAAAAAGTGGTTCCTTCTTCCTTGAGCAGGTAAAGTAGGAGAGAGCTGCTCCTAGGAGCAAAGGAGGAACTCTGAACATGTTCCTGTGTATTTATTCTTAGCCTTGAGAGCAGGGTGTTGTGTCTCTGCCTTTGGTCAACTTGATCCTCTGCARCTCAGGTAACTTTGCCACTTTCTAAAGTATCTTTTCTGTCTTTAGGCTCTCCTCTAGTGACCTGTTTTCCATTTTTTTTTCATTTCCCTCCCTCATTGGTGTATTTGGATTCTTGTTTGCTCATTTATTTATTTTAAGAGCTTRAATTTCTTTGTGTCTGATCCTGCTTCCATGGTGGGATTCCATTGCTCCTGACACCTAAAGCTGAAGGATAAAACCTCATCTTAGTTTGGCTGATCAGCTTCCTTCCTTARGCTGGACACCGTGGTCCCTTTTCCAGCTTTATTGCCCTGCTTTCCAAGGGAGACACTTGAGGCAAAGTGCTGTCAGTGCAGCTGTATTTAACTAGGTGCAATCAGGTGTATTTAACTACGTGGGGCACTCAGAAATTAGAGGTAGATGAGACATATCAGGGTGTAATTCCTTTCACTTGCTCTGAGTCTTGCTGAGTGCATGAGACAACCTTCTTTGGCCCAAGGAAGCAGGTAATTTTGAGGATTCCTGAGAAAATGGAACTTTTTCCTTGAAACAAGGGCTGTTTTAGGCTTCTTTAGCACCCTGAGGCAAACAGGTTCTTCAAACAGCCTCTGTTCCAATAATGCATTAACTGTCGGGAAACAGTGGCTTTGGATTGCATTTCCTGCCGTAAAAAGGAGGAATGTGAATAGGAGCTGTGATTGCCTCATCTCTTGTCAGCATTTGCTAGTGCTGCTTCATGAAATTTCCATAGAAAATCAATAAAGGGCAAAGGAGGAAGTAAAAAGAGAAATGCCCAGAAGTGCCCTTGGTTGCCTGATGCCTTTCAGGAGCTGAGGTCTCCTTGCAAGAGCAGTGACCATGTTGCTGGATGCCCTGAGATGCTCCTTCAGTGCATGGGATAAAGGGTGGACCACGTTGCTTCCCATGTTTCAGTATAGTGCTGAATCCCAATCTTCTGTAGAACATGGAACTTGACTGCATCATGAACACTACCTGGAGAAAGAGATGGAAATTCCTGCAGGAATATGTGATTTGTGTGTGTTTGTTTTTAATGGGCTRAGATGCACCTGCATTCACTATGTGTGGTGTTTGTTTGTTTGTTTAGCTAGACAGCACAATTACTAGACTAGTAGCTATATAGAGCTATATGGAGTTCTCAATGACTGTATACACTGAAATGAGGTAATACTATGTGTGCGTAGCCAGCTGTTCACCTGCCGGAGTTGGTCACAAAGTTCAGGTTTCTTGACTTGCTCTGACCTCATCCTTAACTGTGCTTGCGCATAAGTGAAAGAGTAACTTGCTGTGGAGTGGCCAGCTTGTTCTGGCGCTGTGCCRGTAAGAACATGCCACGGATGAGACTGTGCTGTCCTTGAACAAGGATAAAGGAATTTGCTTAATTTTGATGGCTCACTGTTACAAAACTTGCCTTTCCACCACAGGGACAAAGAGCAACAGTTGGATAACTATGACTTCAGCTAGGCCAGTCTTACMGCTAACAGCCTTTCCCAACCACCTTGTGCTCTCCTGGAGACAAATGTGGTGACAAGAGGCGCCATTCTGCCCTGAACATCAGTCATGTAATTTTATGACTCTCACATTGGTATTAATCACAGAATGGTCAAGGTTGGAAGGGACCTCTAGAGATCATCTAGTCCAAACTTCCTGCTCCAGCAGGGACACCCAGAGCACGGGGCTCAGGGAGGCATCCAGGCAGGTTTGGAAGACCTCCAGAGAAGGAGGCTCCTCTGGGCAGCCTGTGCCAGGGCTCTGTCACCCTCACAGTGAAGAAGTTCCTTCTCACATGGAGATGGAACTGCCTGGGTTTCAACTTGTACCCATTTCCCCTTGTTCTGTCACTGACCGCTTTGATCAAGCATCGAAGTTGGTACCGTCACGCCAGTGTAGTTAATAACACGAGAAGAACATTTGAGAAACATACAATTTGCTAACTATATCTTCAGTTCTCCTGAAATCATGCSTTGGTGAATATTAAAAGTATAAAAGACTGTAAGTGCAGCTCAGTTTGGGGTAGAGGGTGGACTCTTTTCTTCTTTCCTCCCCAGAAGATGGATGGTGTTGGCACTGGTCCTGTGACAATCTTGCCTGTGGAGCCTTGTGAGTCTCGTAGTTAAAATTAGACCTGGCAAGAGTAGTCTGTGTTATCACCTGAGTGAGGCCTGAGACATTGGAGGTGCTCTTGATCCTGACCAGTAGAAACACCAGATATATCAAATCCTTCTGAGTCTACAGACAGTTTCTTGCACCAGATCCTGCTTTCCAGAAAGCTTCCCATTTTTCTCAAGATCTCTTGTACAACAGAAGTACAGCTGAAGGAATCTGTGCTCCTGATGCGATGYCTAGAGGGGGGATTTGAAAGTCTGTTTTGAAAGATGGTCACAGACTAAATCCCTCCCAGCCATCTCATGGATGGAAGGCTTATRTTTTCTATTAATGACTTTATTCAGTGTAAATTATAAACCAACTCTCTTGTGCCGCTGTTTCAATGCCAGTAATAACAGGGAATCATGGCTAATGTTCCCAAAGCTTTTGTTGTTGGAGTTGAGTGAAAGGTTATTAATAGTTTCTTGTAGCAAAGCCACCACCCTCCTGATAAAACSCAGTGGATCAAAGGTTGGAGTGGGGCGGATGGGCTGGCCAGGCTTGGCAATGAGGCTCTCCTTGCTTCAGTAATCCTGCCTGATAAGTCAAAAGACGGTGTTTAGCAGCGGTGCGGGGCACCCTGGCACTGGACTTCGTGCTGTGCTCGCAGGACAGCGCGTTGAGCTTGGCAGATGAGGGTTGAATCCTCATGCAGGATTCAATGCCACGTGTGGGTGCCTGTGTTTCAGGCAAGCTGTGATCTGCCTGTATTGTCATCCAGAGGGGCTCGCAGCCCTCAAAGTAGCAGTGAACACCTAATGCAGTATCACTGGCTGGATCACAGAATCATTATGGTTGGAAAAGATCCTTGARATCATCAAGTCCAACCGCAAACCCTTGAACACAATCCTGCTAAACCATGTCTCATCTACATGTTTCTTCAATACTGYCCCGGACAGTGACTCCACCGCTTCCCTGGGCAGCCTGTTCCAATGCTTGACTCCTCTTTTCCTGCAGAAATTCTTCCTAATGTCTAACCTGAATCTCCCCTGGTGCAACTTGAGGCCCTTTCCTCTTGTCCTACTTGTAATTACTGTGGAGAACACATCGACCCCTGCCTCACTACAACCTCCTTCYACATAGTTGTAGAGAGCAAGAAGGTCTCCCTCGAGCCTCTTCCTCTCCACACTAAATAACCCCAGCTCCCTCAATGAAACCCAAGATAACTGCAGGCGAGGAGGTACAAAACACGTAAGTACATGAGTTCAAAGCTAGCTCTGATGTTTCTAGCAAGCCACGTACAGCAGGATTATCATAAATGAGTCCTGAGTGGTCAAAGGCAGGTTTTGCAGCTCATCACCTTGAAGTGAGGTTGCTACAAGGACTTATGCTGTCCTTGTTCAATGTGCTCCAAGCTGTAAATGCACTTCTAGACTTGCTGTAAAGCAACACGTAGGGTTGTTGCTCCAAAGCTTGGGTGAGAATTGGTGGTGGGAGCAGGTTTCCTCATCCCTAGCTGCCAACTCTGCCGTCCTCCCTGCAAGAGGCTGCTGCTGGAGGAAGAGGGTGGCAGAACAGGCAGCATCTCCTGGCTGCAGCTGGAGCCTCTGCTGGCGCTGGGATGGTTGGATGGTGGTTATGGCAGCGGTCAGTTCCAAGCTGCGATGGCCAAGGAGGAGCCACGTGAGCTGTTTGGCTGCTCCTGCCAAAGGTGGTCACAGCTCCACGTGGCAGCTGAGTCCAGGACGTGCTTTGGGTCCTGTCTCTCTGTGAACTCTCTGGTGCCCCTCGTTTTGGCAGCAGGGATGCAAGGACRACTGATGGGAACGCTTTTCTGTTCAAGAAGACCACGGACTTGCTCAGGTGCTTCTTGTCAGTTGGTGGAAACATTGCAACGAAGTCATTGCAGTTCTGTGCAAGAACAAAGGTATGTGCAGCCTGTACCCCTTGCCCACCTCTGCTCAGGGGCTCTTTGTGGTGTGATGTGCAGGGCCCGTTGCAGTTGGAGAGCCCTCCCTGAGGAGGCAGGTCTGAGGTTACAACTCTGATCTTTGCCCTGTGCTCGTTGTGCAAAGTGTCCGTGCCCGTGGATGAATGTGGCACGTATTAACCTGCCAGAGCGGAAGGCTCGTGGATTGTGCAACAGAGGAGCAGTTCATGCGGAGCAGCTGACCTCAGCTTGGTGTTTGGGATATGAGCAGCAACCCAACGTGCCCCTGAAGGTGTAACAACCAGGTAGAGAAGAAAAGAGGCCAAGACCCRTTGTGGTCCCTGTTGAAGGCCCGCTGCCAGGCAGCACGGTGCACCTGAAAGCTCACCACGCTGCCAAACAGCTGGATTTGGCCAGGATATGAAGGTCAAAGCCAACCTCAGAAGACAATAGTTGGAGCGCCCTGTCCCTCGGGCCCTTGGCCTGCACACACCACTGTTCCCAGTGCTCCCAGAAATAAATCACGGCAGAGACTCGGGCTCTGAGYGGAGGCCGCTCCCGTAACGCCCCTGGCCAGGGCACAGGAACCTGGGCTACAGCACCCAGAGCTGCAGCTCTGCCTCCCAGTTGCTGCGTGGTTGGCTCTGCTGGGTCACAGCTAGAAAGGCAGTGAGGTCTCTACAAGGGATGCCTCATGCAGGGGCTGGGCCCCAGAAGAGGTCACGGAGCTTGCGGAAGTTCAACCGGAGACCAAGGTAAAGAGGATTATTCTCATCTGAGCYGGCTCGGTGCTGTTGTAAAAGAGAAAGCTGCTGATCTTTAGCTCTTGGAGCTGCTGCTGCTTCTCTAGCAGAATCTGCCTGACACAGATGTGCTTTTGTTGGGAGTGCTCGCTTCTCCTGGCACGCAGGTCTGACTCCTGGCTTGTCCCGGTCGGAGGAAGATGCTGTGGGTTCTGCAGCACGGAGGAGCTCTCTGAGGCTTCTCCTTCTCTTCTCCTGCTGTGTTGGCCTTCAGATGAAACAGAGGTACCTTCTGCCAGCTGGGCAGACAAAAGCTGTGCTGACACTTCTTGCAGGGCTGGGAGGAGGCTGCCAGTGCTGAAGCCGGGCTCCTTCTGCCAGCAAACAGAAGTGTCTTCAKCCCCGAGGCTGTGCGAGCTATTGTTGGGGACATAAAGACTTCTCTGTTCCCCTGCACCGCGCTGCCGGCCAACATGCCACTGCCCTCTTTTAGCAGTAAATCCACTCCAGAACCTGCAAGGAGGTTTCATCTCTACCTCTCACCACCCTGGTTGGATTTCCTTCTGGGCAGGGCGTGCAGCAGATTTGCAGCCCGGCGTGAGCCCCGTTGCTTGGAGAGAGGCATCCTCAGCGCTGCCGCTCGCAGATGCCGGGCTTGGAGAGCAAGTGGCCACCTCCCTGCTGGAAACAACAGCATGGGGGCGAGGCGGAGGGGGCAGTGCTTGCCAATCTCCTCCCTCGGAGAAGCCGGGCTGCCTTCTAGCTAGTTCGCCGGTCCTGCGCGTGCTGCGGCTGCAAGGCACCAAACGCTGCTCTGGCTGCTGCGTTGGGCTCTTGAGCATCCACGGAGAGCGTTGGCCCCGCTCTTCTCCTGCCATGCCGTGGACTGGCTGGTCTCTGCGGACAGCAGGCACCTCGGCGAGGTAAAGGGTGCCTTGGTTATTGCGCAAGTGCAGCTGTCACGGTGAAAATCCGTGGAATGAGCTGGAGGAATAGGCTATTCTGTGCAGGGGGAAGCCTGTCCCTGCAGGTGGGGTGATGACTTTGGGTGTTTCTGCTGGAACAGTCATGTAATGGGAAAGGAACAGGGTCAAAGAACAAGCATTCAAGATGTATTCCATGCAAAATTAGTCTCCACAAGCGGCGATGACTCTCCATCCCTCCAGCTACTCCTGACTGATCCTGGTGTGTGTCTAAGCTTATAGCAGAGCTCCTTGGTGTGCTGCGCTGATGCCCAGGTGAACAGCAACCCCATGGGGCTCAGGGCAGCCTCGTTCAGCACTGGGAAGCCCCAGGCATCACCTTCTACAGGTGGCAAGCTTTTTGGAAAGGTGTTCTGGCCAAGGGCCCTTGTACAGGAGGAGGAGGCCCTTGTACAAATAGGTTGGCCAAGGCAGCAGGGACTGCTAGTGTGTGTTGCGTTGCTCAGAGTCAGCCTCCCAGACAGAGGCTCCTTCACAAGGCTGGTACTATAAAACTTGCATGAAGCTAAAGCTCCAAATTTCTCAACTGAATATGACCCGAGTCATTGCTAACACCAATTACTTTCTGCTTCCTGGATTTCCCTTATTGCCTGTGAAATTGCAACTTTCTTGGTGTACAGGGTTGCTTACGTGCTGTGGGACAGGTTCTCACTGAAGTGGCAGCTGCTGGTTTGGGGCCTTCTCGTTGCTCTTATTGTAACACTGCAGAGCTGTCACATTGGGACAGCTTGGGAGCCCTTGGGGCGCTTGCTGAAGCAGGGYGGCAGTAACGGGTCAAGGGGAAGCTGGTAGAAGCTTTGGGTGGGTAGAACCTCTCAGAGTCCTGCCCAGTGGAGGCCCAGACCCAGCTACCTGGTGCTGGCAGCACCCGCACAAGATGTCTTGATACGTATCTGAGTGAGGAAATATTTGGAAGAGACACTCGGTGAGAGATCGGAGGGGAGGAGGTGCCTGTTCCCTGCCAGCAGCTCAGAGCTACATGGGGATGTACTAGAAAGCAAGGGCTGAAAAGGCAGGAAGACGTTGTGTGGTGGGTATGAAGAAAGAAGGTGGGTATGAAGAAGAAAGAATTGCTCAATGTAGGTGACCGCACGATTGACAAAAGCCTCATGGAGAGGATGTGACCCTTGAGTCCATCATACAACACATGAAGCAAAGCGCTTGCCAGCATGTGCTGGAAGGGGAATTTTGGCAAAGCTCCTGACAGGCCTTGCTGATGGGATTTGGGAATTAGATCAAATTAGGCCTGACATAGGCCTCTCTCCTCCCAGGCACTGCAGCAAGGGGATGACCTAGTCTTATCTGCTAGTTAAATGTTTGCTGAACATATGGAATCAGAGTGTAAAGTCACAAAGAATAACTGTCTCATCACCCTTGAAAGGTTGTGGCAGCAGGGTCCTTGCTTCCATTAGGAACATCTGCCCTCTTGATGTTCTGCTTTGTTTTGACACTGGATRTTGCCTGGATGGGTTCTTCCCAAACCTCTTTCATGGACAGAGCAGCTGGTTATTGGGGGGAAACAGGGCATCTGAACAAAGAGGTGTGAARGGGCTGCTCGTGTGCCTGATGACCTGCTTGCTAGTTCCAGTGTGGCCCAGAAACACCAAGGTCCATCATCCTGTCTCTTCTTCCAGGAAGATGAAGAGGCACTGTTTGGTGGTCGGAGTCTTAACCGTGGTCCTGCTGGGACTCATCTTGTTCCTGGGACTCTACTTTGGGCTGCGCCATGACCCATGGGACAGACACATCTACAAGAGAGCAGCTGTGGCTGCAGATGCAGGGCAGTGCTCGATAATTGGAAGGTAGTAATCATTGGTAATAATTGGTGGCAATTCTGTTGTGACTCTTTAGCCCTGAAAGCTCTTGCACAAGACAAAACTGTTCTGTTTCCTCTGGTGTCCGAGTGCAGCTCCAGCAATTGCACAGCACCAATACCATCTAATTTCACTCTGGAATGAGAAAGGCAGAATAAAACCTGGGTTCTTACTGTGTCTTGCCAACGTTACTGTAGTCGCTCAAAGATGAGTGGTCAAATATTCTGCAGCCACAGAAACAAGGGGAATGATGCTTTTCAGGTTCCTTTTAGAAAACTATTTGTCCAACTGTCCTCCACTTCCAGATGCAAGAGCTCCAGATTTCAGCCTCCTTGGAGACCTATCATTTGCACATGTAGCAAATGTCTTGGGTGTTGGTCTCCACACAAGTTTTGCCACATCTGGGTGTTTTCAGGCTAGTCTAGATGCCTTTTTAATGAGTACGGAGCTGCTCTGTACCTGGACCGTCAGGATCTGTTCTCTCAAGTGACAGATGGGAGGGTCCTGTAGCCAAGGTGTGGATAAATATGCATGAGAGAGCTGTCATAACTGCTCTGAACAYGGCAGCACGTCCCTGTAAGATGCCTTCTCTTTTGCTGCACAGGGACATCCTTCAGCAAGGAGGATCAGCAGTGGATGCAGCAATTGCAGCTCTGCTCTGTGTAGGACTCATGAATGCTCACAGCATGGGCATTGGAGGGGGCCTCTTCCTTACTATCTACAGCAGCACAGGTAAGGGACAGGGTGGCTTAGATGTGGCTGGAAGAGCTGCAGAACTGTTGAGGGCAGGGAGAGGTGGTTTGTCCTAATGGTTTGTCCTGACTGGGTGAAGACTAAGAGAACAGGCTCTCCTCAAAGCTACTGCCAAGAAACCAGCTCCCAATGGTCAGACTCCTTCAGTAGAAACAGTGTCTGCATGCTGAATCCAGAGCTAAAACACCCTCTTCCTTGTGTTATCTTTAAAGGGAAAGTGGAAATCATTAATGCCAGAGAGGTGGCTCCAAAAAAGGCAACGCTAGACATGTTTGGGAACAACACTGAGATCTCTCTGAAAGGTATGGCCTGCCCACTGCTTTGGGGGACTCGCATCTTCCAACTTCCACTTCCACCTGAGTAACCTGCAAAAGGGTAGAGGTGCTTCAGCAGTCCATAATGTGCAAACATGAGTATCAACCAGAATAATTTCATGATGTTGTATGCGTAGGCTGAGCTCGTAATAGTATGTGTGATGCTTGCCTAAAAACAAAGCCAACAGATAAGCCCTGTGTTACCTCCTACTCCATTAATTGCTTTTATTTCTGTGTGTGTATGTTTTGGTTTGTTTCTCCTTGCCGTGTGCTAACACATCCCTTGTTGGCTCCAGGAGGTCTGTCCATTGCAGTTCCAGGAGAAATCCGCGGCTATGAATTGGCTCACAAACGTCACGGCAAATTAGCATGGAAAGACCTGTTTCTGCCCAGCATCAAGTTGGCAAGAGAAGGATTCCCAATCGGGAAAGGCCTTGGAGCAGCCATTAAATCAAAACAGCAATCAATTGAAAGCAATCCCTCACTGTGGTAGGTAGAGCAGTGACTGTCCCGAACTGGAAAATTTGGGGTTACTGCATTCTAGACAAAGAGCATCTGTGTTTGTGTAATGTGGTATCCCATGAGGACTGTCCCTCCCCTCTGATGTTGCTGAATAATGTGGCTAATTTCAGGCAAGTTCAGTCCTTCTAAAGTGAGATAAATTCTGCTCTTAAGGCCCATTTGTCAAGGCAGAGATGGGACTTAAATACATGCTGGACTAGCTTTGTCAGATGGCGATGTATTTGTCTGAWTTTTCATGCTTTTCTCATGCTGTAAATATGCTAAGCTAATCTGACTTGCATTTTGGGCAATTGCAGAGTGTGTTCCTCCTTAAAAATCTTATTTGCTCTTAGACTGTAGGAAACTGGGTCATCTCATCCCAGAGTGAGCCTTCCTGGAGCAATACCTCTGATGATGCACTTCTGACAATGACTGAACCTAAAGAGTTTTAAATGCTCCTCCACTTCTTCTTACATTCAAACCCATAGTATCTATGTCCAGCCCTAGTGGACAAGCCTTTCTTGTTTCTTAAAGTCTCCGCTAGCTACAGGATATTTTGCAGCTCATTTGGGAAGGTCAACCTGGGCCTAAAGCATCACATCCATGATGAGGGAGTTAGAGGGAGAATTATGGCTACCTCAAAAGGCTCTGGCATGTAGGGATCAAAGTGCATTTTCCTGCACTCATTGGAAGCTTTGACTGTTGTAGCTTCCTGATCTGTGCTTTGAATTTAATTGCTTGAATTCAAGGAGTTCAAGACCCCTCACAGGCCTCTTGAGGCTGTTTTAAAATCCTTGGGCAGATGGGGAAGGCGGCCTGCCAAGGCAACAAGAATTGATGTGCTCTCCTTCAGGTTGCCCTGAGCAAGTTCTGAGCAATGTGRAATCCCATGTCAGAAGCCACTTTTATGTCCTAGTGCATGTGGTCAGGACCMATGTGGCATGGCTCAGGCAGATCCTCTTCTTTCCAGGTCGCCTCCAGCATGAACAGTGAAATGCTGTGCCAGCTCATACRGGTACATGTAGTTTTGAACTTGCTTCTCAGATCTGATCTTCTCAATCTCCTTTATCTGTTAGTGAAGTATTCTGCAGAGGAGGAAAAATTCTACATGAGGGTGATATTGTCAAGATGCCTAAACTAGCCAACACCTATGAGACTATAGCCAACGAGGGAGCAGATGCCTTTTACACAGGAAACCTGGCAAAACAGATCATCGCTGACATCCAGAGTGCAGGTGAGAAACGGGATGCTGTCCAGAAGAGCCCGAGCTATGGGACTGCTGCAGCTTGGCACCCAGAGATGGGCCTGTGACCTGCAGAGCCCTTGGAGGCAGGTCAACCCTGCTGCCTGAAATGCTGCCTCTGAGATAGGTGGTAACAGGATGCTCAGGAGAAGCTGTTAGCTGGATGTGTTTCAAATGAGGGCAGAAATGCATGGTATATACTGTGCATTTCTGCACATCATAGTCTATTCAGAAATACATAGACTTGCTATAGCACAGTAGATATGTGCTGTCTACAGAGCCTGAATCCGACCACTTAAAACTGCACATGCTCCTCTAATAAGTTTGTTTAACCTCTGGATGCCGCTAGATGGTGGCAGTATCCTGTCCTTGCGAGCTGACATTGGCTACTTTCCATGAACTGCATGGGAACAAGTAATTTACTGGTTTTCTTTGTATCATTAAATACTGTCTTCCCCTTTCTGATGAGACAGGCAATGGAAAGTACAAATTATTCTGCCTGCTGCGTAGCACAAAGTGTCCACATCCCAAAACTGCATCTTCCTCCTGTAAACAGGATTCTTTGGATCATTTTGTTCCCTTCTACTGCTGGTGTCCTCTGCAGAAATAAATGAATCAGATTTTTTTGCTGCTCTAGATCACTTAGGCTATCTGAGTCTCAGCTGGATCTGTTGGAGGGTGGGGGGAGAGACCTTTCTGGGCCACCCATCTTTGTTCTCTCTACCTTGCAACATTTTGGATGTGTCTGTCCCCCATCCCATCCTTGCTGTGATGCCTGATTATGAAATATTGTCACTTCTTCCCAGTGGAGATCACATAAACCCAAACTAATAGCTGTCTTCTCCCTTCTAGGAGGCATCCTCACAATGGAGGACCTGCGGGATTATAATGCAACAGTGATTGAAAACCCTATAAAGGTCGGCCTTGGGGAGTTTACCCTCTACACACCTAGCTCCCCACTGAGTGGTCCAGTGCTAGCGCTTGTCTTCAACATACTGAAAGGTGAGAGACCCACTGAGTGATGTTTTTGGGCAGCAGGAGCTCGGAGAGCTCCAAAGACAACTGAACTTCTGCTTTTGGAGCTGGCCCCAGTAGCGTGCCGGAGGGTGAAGGACAGCAGTGCTTTTCCTCAGGGGTATCTGAAGCCCCAGAAGGGACCAGAGAAGTAGGAACATTCCTCCTCTAAACTGGGGGACATGTCTATGGTACATGAAACAGAGATGAGAAGGAGAAAAAGATTCTCCTCATTAGGGTGTTTCTCCAGTACCTGAATAGGCTGAAAGTAGCTTGTACTTGAGGCTTCTTTGGAAGACACCTTCCCAAGTGAAAATCCTGATTCCTATTGAGCCCAAAGCTGCCATAGCTCCTGTGTTTTTCAAGCGGAGGTGAGGACAGTGCAGTCCATGTCTCCATAGTGATGGGCTTCAAGATGATCCTGTTTACAGTTGTATTAGCAGCCCATTGACCATGTTTCTTCGTTTATGTTCACAATGGCTTGTCTTCTGTTGCCAGGATATAATTTCTCTGTTGACAGCATCAAAACCCTGGAAGAGAAAGGCCTGACCTACCACCGCATTGTGGAGGCCTTTCGCTTTGCCTAYGCCAAGAGGACTTTGCTTGGAGATCCAAACTTCACCAACATGGAAGAGGTAACTGGCAAAAGCTTTTTCCTTCTGCAGAGCCACTGGAACATGGCTCCAAGTTAGTGAGTGACTAAGCACTGTCAGGGATGCTCCATCCCACCTGCTTTTGGCAGGCATTGAAATGTGTCTCTGAATTAAGGTCCTATGGCAGTGACTTAAGGCTGAGCTGTGAGGGACAAAAAGGCAGGAAACCTTCCTGCTTTAGGCAGAGCAAAATCCTCTATTTTCCAGGAGCTTTTGTGTGTACCTAGGTCTAACCTTCCATGTTTTAATAGTATTTGAAGTTTTATGCACTAGATAATACTCATGGCAGCCACATGGCTCTCTGAACCCAGTCCTGCCTGTAGTAAATGGGCCAGCAGAAGTGAAGGGCTGACATGGTACTCTACTTCTTCTGACTGTGCACTGTGCACTTATTTCTGTGAGTCTCCAAAAGCAGCAGGATCTGGGCACAGCTGTGCTTGGTGGACACAAATTTGCAATTTACAGAGCAATTATCAGCTCTAGTCCTCTCAGCCTTTTTCTTCTCTCTGAAGCAAGTGTAATACTGCTTGCGTGTGCCTTACCGCAGCGCTGAGGAGGACTTTCCGTGGAGCTGCAGTAATGGATGTTGATTGACTTCCCCCAAGGGCTTCCACAAAGGGCTGCTCTGTAATAGCTGCTTCCGTGGTGGCTTAAAATGCTCTTTGGTAACGCACCTACTTTTCAAGAAGAGGCAAAGCTCCTACTGGAAAACTCTCGTCTCATTGCTAGGGCTTGCCACCCTTCTGTGGTTTGAAGTGTTGGGTGTCAGYCTTGTAACTACATGTCTCTGAAACTCAACCTGCCAAGTAACTGCGCTGGATTTCTCTGGCAGGTGATCCGAAACATGACGTCRGAGTTCTACGCGGATGGTGTCCGGAGGAAAATCACAGACATCTCCCACCCAATCGACTACTACGAGCCGGTGTACTACGCTGGAGCTGATGGTGGTACCTCCCACCTCTCCGTCGTGGCCGAAGACGGCAGCGCTGTGTCCGCCACCAGCACCATCAACCAATAGTATGAGCTCAGATGTTACTTCCATGTAGGCCTCTGCTGTCTTCCTAGTGGTTCTGTGGTTGGTATAACACATCAGTGAAGTGGCATCTCTGCAGTGATGGGGCAGTGATGGGTGGCACTGCTGATGGGCACTTCTCCTGCTGAGCTTGCAGGTCAGTTCTTAACGGCAAGACCTGTGTGGTCGGGTCAGGCCAAGAGATGTGAACTAGGGTCCTCTCGTGTGGGGTTCATCCACCGAGGAGACATCCGCAGCATCTGGATCTTCTCACAGGGATGCTGTCACTTCAGGCTCGGGCTTCCCAGGCATCTGGAAGGGATCTGAGCTCCTGCAGCTGCCCTGGAAGTGGTGTGTTTGCCTTTGCGTGCTCTCAGGGACAGCTTTGTTCAGTGCTCAGCCTGAAGATGTGGGGAATAAAGGCTCTTCCTTCTATTCATAGCAAATCCATCCCACTTGACACAACTAAGCAGAACCCCTCCATCATTCCTCAATGTCCCAGCCTTTGAACTGTGCTGCCTTTAAAGGGAGTGCAGCACTGAGCAGGGACGAGGGGAATGAACTGCATTTAGCTGATGTGCTGGTTTTTTTCCTTGGGGCCCTTGCAGGGAGCTATAGAGCAGAGCTCTGGGCTGCCTTTCCTCCTTGTGTAGCTGGTACTCAGGGTAGAAACTGCTTCCTCTCCCCATATGGCACCAGAATGCCCTTTGTGGTGGGGGAATGGAAAGTTACTCCCATCAAATCCCAGGTTTCATGTTGCRGTAATTCACCTGAAGCTCGGCCTGGAATTTTTTTCCAGCTTTGACATGTCTGTGCTGATTGTTTTGTTTAGTTTTGGCTCCCAGGTACGATCCAACGTGAGTGGCATCATATTTAATGATGAGATGGATGACTTCAGCTCTCCTAATATAATCAATGGATTTGGGGTGCCTCCTTCTCCAGCAAACTTCATAGCACCAGGTAGCTATAAACTGCCTTCCCACCTCAGGCTCGCGACTGTGTCTTGCTTATTAAAGCTGGGGTGTCTGCAAGTGCAGTCCCTGTGTCTCTGTAGTGATGGGCTTCAAGATGATCCTGTCTAGCAGCTTTATTAGCAGCCCGTTGACCAGGTATCTTCATTTGTGAGAGGTGCAGATCTGGGGCTGGATGCAGAGGGTTGGGAGTCAAATTGAGATCCTTTCATCCCTGCTGAAAGGGCATGACCAGCTGCTCTGGAAGCCCTCTGAAGAAGGAGAGGCCAGCTAAAGAAGAAGCCCTTGACACACTTCTAATATCCTTCTGTAGGGAGCTTGGGGCACGGCGAGTAAAATGCTTGGGGGCATTTTGAGCAAGACYTGTGTGAGCTGAGCCAGGTGGGTGACTACAGGGGCTCTGGGTTTAGACATGGAGCTGCAAGGTGCCAGCGGGAGGCTGAGCCTCTGTCGTGTCTGTGTCCCCACCAGGTAAACAGCCCTTGTCCTCCATGTGCCCCTCCATCTTGGTGGATAAAACAAATCAGGTCAAGATGGTGGTTGGTGCATCTGGAGGAACGAAAATAACCACGGCCACGGCACTGGTATGTGATGGTGTGGGTGACCTGGGGATAGGGGAGAGGCAGGGTTTGGGATAAGGGGTCAAGTCTCCATCTGCCTGATGTGACCACTGCTCCCTCTGAGCCCCAGCATCCCCTGCAGGCTGGGAGGCAGCATTTGGTCCAGCCTTTGGGGGGCCAGACCCCCCAACCCCAAGGTCCTCATAGGTCTCCTGCTAAATTCCTTCCTTTAATGGATCCAGGTGTTTCCTTGTGTTAAGTTTTACTTGCAAGAAAAGATTTGTGGCTGCAATTTTGCTTTGAATGCTCTCCTCTGGATCTCTGCAAACTAATTTCTTTGGAGCCATTCCCATCCCAAATTATAAACTTTCTGGAATAACTAAACAGGCTGTTTCCTAACTGGCCCACTGCCTGATACAGTGTTTGTGAGCTGAACATGTGTGCGATTAAACCAATTTATCCTGTAAGAGGAGGTTTGATGCCCACTTCTGCCCCATGTGTAAGAGGACTTTGGAAAGGAGTAGACATGGGCATGGAGTGAAAAGGGTCTCAGTGCTGGGTGGCTGTAGTAGGTGCTGCAGTTCTAGATGTGGTTGCCAAGGTTGCTTATTCTTATTTATTAAAAAAAAAAAAAAAAAAATTGTTGCCCTTTCAAAGCTTTCCAGTTTGCTAAAATGTGACTTGCTCCAGAAATGCTCCCTTCTCTAGCACAGAGGGAATTTGCACGCCAACGTTGGCTGCTCTGTGCTTCAGCATTCCAGGCTGGATCCCACTCCGTGGCTGAGGCAGGGGAGCAGCTCCCCAAAAGCTGCAACAAACAGGTCCAGAGCCCTTGATCCAGGTTCTTCTCATTTGCCAGCAGCTCCAGTTTAAGCAAGTGGGAAGGTTTAAGGGGACTGGCTATGCAGTAGCAGGAGGCAGTAGCCATATGTGTGCACCAAGGTGACTCCTGGGTCTAAATAAGTTGGCACTGGCTTAAGCAGAGTTAGGATAAATCCTGACATAAGGACTTGAGGATCTGATCCTCTTGCTATGCTGATGGCAACCCCTGAGGGCTTGTTTGCATGGGAATCCTCCAGAGGATATGCAAGCTAAGCTGCTGCAATGCACTGGTGTCTTCYTCACCCAAGAGAGGGTGAACTGGATGGGGCATGACCAAGAAATAACCATCTTTGTGTTCTGGTAAAAATCCTTTAGAAATATATGCTAGTGCTGCTACGGTGGTGGGTCAGATCTCTTCAGAGACCTTATTCAGGTAGTTCTTTATCTGACACTAACTTGTTTTGTCTCTCCTAGGCAATCATCAATTCCCTGTGGTTTGGCTATGATGTTAAGAAGTCGGTGGAAGAGCCCAGGTTTCACAATCAGCTCTTTCCCAGTGTCACGGAGCTGGAGCAGGAGATCCAGGAGGTTTGTCTGTCCCAAGGCCGGACTGGGTGCTAGCTATTCTGCTTCTGGGTTGGGGAGCCTAATGCTTRCAGCAAAGCGTGGCACCTTGCTAAACGTCCCTAGGTTAGAGGTTTAATACCTCTAACCTCAGCTTTAAAGTTGGCACAGGTCTAGCTCACCGTACGTGTTCAAAGTGCACATCTGCTTTAAGGCGCAGTGTGTCCACACGCGAGCTACAGCTGGAATTAACACTTGTTTTCCAGATGTTGCTTGGCTCAAAGGACTTAGCGCTGAACCGCACCAGGACCTGAGACACCCAAGTAGTCCAAATACAGTGACCTTTGGGAAGCTCTTGTCCTGTTATGTGGCCTCGGATGAATCCCACAGCACTGGTGCAGCGCTAGCGAGGGAGGACAAGCAAAAAACACAGAGAATTACCCCAAAAATCCCGAAATCTGTGACCTGGCAGCAGGCTCTGCCATGCTCTGCATTGCTCTCCTGAGCTCTCCTGAGCTGGCAGTGTCTCTTCACCCTGAGGGAGCAGATGTGGTCTTTGTACCCATCTTATCTCGTGTCTGTCAYGAGAAAAAAACACTCTTAGATAAACCAGTGTTTTTAATCAATCCTAAAGATCCTCTTCAATCTCCAGATAAAACAAACTTCCTGTTGAGGTTATAAACAAAGACATGGGCCTGCACTGAGCAGCACGCCCTGCCCTCTAAAAGCCCTGTGTCCTACCACCAAACAGGCTCGGTCACTCCTGGCTGTCAGTATCTGGCTRCGAGCCTGAATGCTCTGGCATTCAGAAATTGTACTGGGAGCCCACGCTGAGCACCACAAATGCTGTATCTCAACTCCAGCTCTTCAAAGCAAAGCATCCCAGAAGGCAGCAGGAAGATGAAGGACAGCTTATAGCTTCAGGGGACCTACCTTGGCTTGGGTGGCCAAGGAAGTTGCTGATTGTCATCTGCGTTATAGGCCATTTCTCTCTGTCCTGTTGCACTTGTGCCCCTTTTTATTGCAGGGTATAGAAGAAGAACTAAAGAGGAGGAGACACAACACGACGTGGACAACGAGCAGCGCGATTGTGCAGGCTGTTCTCAGGACAGCTGACGGGTGGGCTGCAGCCTCCGATTCCCGGAAAGGTGGCTTCCCTGCAGGCTACTGACCTAGCTCGGCTCCTTTCTTCAGCGATCCGGCGACACCGACACGCGTTGGGGGGAAGATCCTTCAGGACTGCAACTCAGGGACTCCTCGCAGGAAGGAGAACACATTTAGCTGTGATTCCATTGATGGAGCTGAGACCGATGTTCTCAACAGCCATTACCGAAGTGCCTCGTGGCAGAGCACTGTGCTAAGACAGGCACGTCTCCAAGGACGTGCAGTGCCTACTTGAAGAGTCTGTTCTGCCTTCGTTTCCTGCCTCATCCCTATTCCGTGTAAGCAAACCTGGTACCCAGTGTTTCTGAAGAAGGTCCAACTCGCCCAGTTTGAAGGAAGTCCTTCCCTCGCACAGCTTCAGCTGCCAAGAATATCCTCATCGTTGCTAGAGAAGAGTTGAGTAGATGAGTTAGAGGGCTCTGGGGAGTGGGTCTTCTAACTTACAAATAGGTCTGTGCTACATCAGGAACTCCAATGCTACACTGGGATAAACCTTCACAAACTCACTGCTCTCYTAACAAAAATTTTTCTGCTTTTCACTTCAAAAGTTGATTATTGCTGATGAGTGTAGAACTGGAAAAGTGGCTTCAGCTTTTTTTTTTAAACATATCTATATTTCTGTTGAGAAGGTCTAAAGGGAAGACAGATGCTACCTGTAAAACTCTGAGCACAACTAAAATAAATGCCTATGTCATCACATGTTTTTCTTGCCTGCACAGYTGATACTTCTAAAAATGACCAGGAGTTTTCATAAGAGACTCTCCTGAGATTTCTCTCATTTGTTCACTCCTTTCATGAAGCTATGAGGAAAAAAAGGTAGCCGAATGTTCAGACCAAGCTTGGTTTCCTCTAGTTTACCTCTTGCCACACCGGATTGCAGGCCTGAAGTACCTGAGAGGCTGAGGAAGGGAAACCTCCTAAGAGAGGATTGTGCTGCAACCTCTGCAGTGAGCAGGTGAGCTACCATTAATCAGGCGCTCAATGACCTCAAAAATCCATATTTGATATGGGTCAACTAAGTGTCCTGTAGTGACACGTTGAGGGGGTTGGTGTTTGCTTCCCGTTACAGACTAGCATCTCACAGCACGTAAACATAGCCAAGTTGAGTTCCTGAAGCTGAGAGCAAAACTTGAGTGTTCCGGGATGTTGTTGAGCTCTAGATATGTTTATGAAGTCCTTGAAACGTGAAGGTCTTAGAAACTGATCTTACTTRTTTGCCTCACTGAAACTTCCTGTCAGTTTGAGACCTGAAAATTCAGAAGGGAAAGTGAAAGGCTGCAATTCCAGACTGTGGGCACCCTCTCCATCCCAGTGGGAARGAGTCTGGAAGTGGGAAGAGTCTGCTGTCAAGGCATAAAGTGATAGTGAGGTTGTGCATAAATCAAAGGGTGCTGTCTGTGTGATATATATTAGCTTAATCCCTCCTGCTACATGAATAGCTTTGGCCAAAAGTGTTCTGGTAAATGCTCTGTGCTCTTTTTTTCCTGTTACTGCTGTGTTAGGTGCAGCTCGGACAGTGGTTGCAAGAACGTAGCAACTGGGTGAAAGAGATGGATCTGGTGCCAAACTTGGAGCCTCTTATCTTTGCTCTGTGACTTCCCCTTCTTGTAACTGCAGGGTAGATGTCAGGGGCAGGCTGGGGTTCAAAGCCACTTTTCAAGGCAGTTCAGGAGGCTTATAGACAAGGTCACACAATGAACTGCATCAGCTGGTATGAGTGTCTCACCCTCTGGACTTTGGCCTGTTTGTCAAATGAGCGGCATTGGCTGAACTTCTTCTTGGCTGGACGAGGGCTGGGAAATAAACAAATAAAACTATTGCACAGCGCAGCAGAATGAACTGAACCAAGACTGTCACTCACTGTGGTCTAAAGTGCAAGAAGGAAAGCGTGTGCTCTGAAACTGGAGGGTAGCTGGTTTCTGGGAAAGGGTAGTTGGCCAAATACGCCCTCTGAAATGAGTTTTGGTAAAGGCTGTTGGATGCCTCTAAAGGCCTGTGGTGCAGAAGTCACATCTGTGTTCCTGAGTCTCTTATAACCAGTCAGCAAACTCCCCTAGGATTTATGACCTACATTACAAAACGTCCCTGCTGAAAAGCTCAGCTTTTGCTAAAATAGCTAGTGCTATWGCTAAAAAACACTTTCTTTTGAAAATGATACCCATTAATGCATTTGGTTTCTTGACACTCTGCAGAAATCGGTCCAAATAACTGATTTTAGGTGATTTTAGGACGGACTAAAGCTTGCACTTATACCCTTGCAGAATGAACTGTGGTGGAAGCACCACTATGCAAGTCCCCTCTAGACACTGCTTGGGTGCAAGTCTAGGCAATATCGTCATAGGGAAAACACAAGAAAAGGTTTAAAAACACTTTATTAAAAATATAATTTAAAGACTTCATCAGAAAATAGAGGCCTTTGTACAACGGTATGTTAAAAGTCCTTCAGGTTGACTAAGTAAAACAAACAATGGTATTCTGGTGGTGGTAGGAGGAGTGGAAAGGGACCAGCCTGCGGCTCTCTGGATCCAAGCAGGTTTTGGCAGCAATGGGGAGTCATCCTGCTGGGATGGGGTCCCTACGGCCACGGGGGAGCTCTCTGCTTCACAAATAAAGCACGTAGCAGATTTTAAAGCATCTCAGCTGGCTCTGTTTCAATGTCACTAGCAAAGCAGATAATTGCAGTGTGGCACTGGGCTGTAGATAAGGTGGGCTGTAGATAACATTACCTGGCATCGGGGTGAGGCAGGGCACAGCTGAGCCTGTCCTGAAGCCTAATAGGAAAGCAAGAACTATGCTCCCTGCTTCTAGATGGGTTTTGGTTGCTCTCCATAAGCTCTAAGCACAGTTGGTCTAAAAAGTGCACATCTTGCTGTAGCCAACAACCAGCCTAGTTAGTCCATCTGGTCCTGAAAGGTGAGCTGCAGGGGTGTCGGGTGCCTGTAGGTGCTTCCCTGGGATGTCACTGCCATGGAGAGGGTATTTCCAGCACTGGAACACCTCAGGCACAGTAGCTGAAGTGAGGAAGTCTTTGCTAAAAGTAGAAAACTTTTAGTTTCAGCAAATCATAGAAGTCAAAACTGGCTATCCAAAAAGTTAAACAGAAATACCACCCAACTTCAAGCTGGAGGCCCATTGCACTTGTCTCCGTTGAAACATGAATGTGATCAATGTGAGTTTGATGGAGGCTCTAATGCTCTATAACAGAGTGTTTTGCTACTTCTGTGGCTCTGCTCAAGAAACGTGAAGTCTTCAAGAAGCTCAAATATTTAAGAAGCTTTAAGACTTTCCTGAAATAGGGAATTGAGCTCCAGTTGAAGAAGATGTGGGGGTATGCATGCAGCTGGCTGTAAATGCAGGTGAATAAGTGCTCGTGGGCATCATGTGGCAACTTGGAAATACTTGTGTATCAGCTCTGACACAGCTGTGCTCGTGCCCTGAACTATCACCCTTAGCGTGGAGTTTCCGAAGGAAAACACTTGTCTGGCTCTTGTCAGCTTCACTCTGGACATTGTTAAGCTAATATTGAGAGTTGAGATATCAACAAGTTGATGGCTTCATTGGATGGGTTTTATGGTTATTAACACAGACTCACAACCTATCTGGCTTTGTTCACAGTGGCTAGACCTGGCTTGGATTTGCTTTAACGGTGTGTGCTCAGATACTTGTCACAGTGTTTACAGAGGCAGTTTCCAAGTTCCTTTCCTAGGAACTTCTCTAAAAGTGGGGTGGGAATACTGAGGGCTGAATGGGAGATGAGATATAACGTGTTTGGGGAGGAGGAGGAGGGATGGGTTAGAGCCTTGCTCTGACTTTGCTATACAAGGGCAGACAGGTTGGAGGGAGTTGTTGGGCACTGCTGCAACTTGCCACTGCCTAATGTCCAAGTGCCTTGATAAATATTTGTTAATTATGTCTTTTTGCACATCTAATTCCCTTAGTCATTGCGAGCAGGGCAAGGTTAGGGAGGAAGTGCATCAAGGTGAATGGGTTCGGGGGTCTCCTCCAGGAGTTTCTTCTGGTAGTGATGGTTCTTACAATTGCTAAGACGGTCCTRCAATTTTCTCCTCATCCTCTTTAGTGATTGTTAGATACTGGTTTTGGTAAACAGGCAGTTAGGCTAGGGAATAAAAGAATATTCTGCAAATGCTGCACGGCAGTTCTCAACTGTCCTGGTGGTRGTTGCCTGACTAGACTGAGCCCATGGCAACAAACCAAGGCATCCCGTTCTGCATCCTTGGCATTCTGCAAAAAATTACCAAGCTCTCAAGAACAACGTCCCTTCCAAAGCTGGCCTCCCAAAGGCCTCCACCTGCCTTCCCAAAGTGCTTCCCTTCRGCAGGCAAAGGGCAGGAAGGAGGGAGATCTGGGAGCGGGGAATTCACATTGCTCCATGGGAGCCTCACTCGCAAGGGCACCAGTGTGTGAGGCTGCAGGAAGCTTCAGCACAGCTGGTCCCAGTAACAAGCTTATCAGAGCAATAGCCCTAAAGAAACTAATTATGCTCTTAACTGAGGCTCTGCAGCACAAACAGAAGATACAGCTAGGTCACAGTGTTCCCAGTGGGTTTTGGACCAGTTCTCCTTTTCCCACTGTGTATCTTCCTATTTTGAATAGCTGGTCTGCACAAGAAATACGCTTTTCCAAATATTGAAGTGTTATGGAAGATGTCATGGACGATGTAGCTCTAATCAAAGCTGGCTGACGTATCCTTGTTTTGCCTGAGGGTATTTGCAGTCCATTGGAGTTGGGCGTCATCAGCAGTTTTGTCCATCCTCTGGAAGTACCCTCAAGAGAACAACTGATGCTGGCATGCCCAAGCCAAATTTAGTTCTCCTCTGGGGCTTTTGGTTAGAATAGAGGAGCTGTCATGACATCTGATGCTAATATCCAGCTGATTTCCCCAGCTTCCTTATATCCGAGTAAGCAGAGATGCATTTTCCTTCCTTGGAAATCCCCTGCACAACATTCATTCCAAACATGAATTCCTTTTCTTTATGCTCTCTTCTCAGCAGGCCTCTCCTCACCTCCTGTGGTGGGGAGAGAAGAGGACATGGAATGAATGGGGCAGGGTCTTGGGCAAACGAAGGCCGTGTATGTGGGGTCAGGTTGAGATCCAAGTGAGGCCACTCACCTCGCTGAAGCCTTTCTCAAACAGGATTCTGTTACCTTCAGCATGCATGATGGGAGCTGCAATGGCGTGTTCCAGGTCATAGCCAAGCCACAGCTTGTTTATGATAGCCTGCAATGAAAGAGATCCCGCAGTGATTGGAGGTGGTGGGCAAGGACCTGGGTTACAGTTGCACCGAAGCTACCTGTCTCCTGTCTATGTAAAGCTAGAGGTAAGAAGGGGAGGAGAGGCTGAGTGGGCAGCAGAACCTCAGCGTGGCCTCCAGCATAGCAGAGCTAACAGCAGCACAGGGATTCCTTTGGGTTTATTGGACGTGTGCTCTCCTTGCTCACTGGAGGTTCCTCTCCCTGGTACTCACCATCGCCGTAGCACTGACAATCAAGGACCCTCCGGATCCTCCGATCACCAGCATGTCTCCMGTCTTGGATAGGAGAATGGAAGGCACCATGGCTGAAGGAGGCCTCTCCCCTACAGCAGAAGCAGAGAACATCATTCCTCTTATGTAGCTGCCTGGRGGGGCTGGAGAGACACATAAATTTCTCTTTTCTGCCCTTCTTGTATTGTCTGTGTGGSTCTTGTACCCATAGAAAATCAAGCATCTGCTGCTGTTGGAGAAATCTGAGGACACAGGACCTTGTGTGAGGGAAGGCTCATTCGCATTGCCTCTGTATTGGCAACGCTGTGTTGCAGAACTCAGGGGAAACCTGCAGCACTCCCATACTGTGCATACAACCAGGTATTTCTTCACAAGTGAACCTAGAAGATAGGCACCCTCGCCTTATAAGTAGTTCCTTCACTTACTCCCTCTCATCCCCACCTATCCACAATGAGCATTTTTTTTAAATCTCTATTTTGCCCAGTCAGAAACCGAAACCAAATGTTCTTTCGGTTCTTTTTCTTTTACAGAAGAGAACCAGTATTCTTTTATGTGAGTGCAYGTGTGCATAGACTCGGAAAAACACTTGCCCAGGGGCTTAATCCTCTCTCAGTTCAGAACAAACTCCCTCTCACTCAGACCTACAAAAGGAATGAGTGTCTCATGTGCAGACACCCCTTGCCCAGCTGTACCTGGCCTGTATCTCCTGGCCTTGATCCTTATCTCGGGGTAAGAGGGCTCACCTGGCTTAATGCTTCTGTTTGCTATGCAGAAATCAGCAAGCTCATTATTTAAAATGATCCCGGTTTGGTTGGAATACACGAAGGAGCCAAACCTGCAGCGGGGAAAGAAAAGTGGCTTTTCAGTGACCAGCACTCTGCTGTGTGGATGGTGGCTGAACACAGCACCCTGCAGGGCTTCCTCTGCCTCCTCATCCCAGCCTGGAACCGCACCAGCTACAGTGTCCAAGAAGCTCTTGGGCTGGAATATAAGCTCCCTCTTACTGGTAGACATGGGGATTTGCCCAGCCCACAGAAGCTCTGCAGAAACTCTCAGCAGAGCTCAACGGGTTTATGGAGCTCRAGTGTGATATTCCCCTCAGCTGATGTGCCAAGACGTCTTGGTATTCATGGATATGAGACATTCCTGCTGCACAAAACACTGAAGCCCCAGGGTTTTTCTTGTCCTTGTGGTGCACAGCTGCTGCTCGCCTCCCGTGAGCCTGGCACACATCCTGTGTGATCCAAATGCCCCTGGGCTACTCACGGGTAGTTGATGGTGCTGGTGGCGGACACGGCGCTGCCGTCGGCGGCGAGCACCGACACGTGCGTGGTGCCCTTGCTTTGGTACCCGTGGCTCGGGCTGGACGCCGACAGCTGGTAATAGCTGAGCGGGTGGTCACCGTGGCCGTCCATCCGGCTTCTGACGAGCTGGGCAGTATCGTCCGACAGCAGGGCCTCAGCCGTCACCTACGGGGACAGCGAGATGGCATCGGGAAAGCACAGACAGGGCTTTCCGTGGGCACAAGTGCAGTGCCAGGGCTTAAGGACCCGCTGTCCAGCACTCGGCCTCAGCAGGGCTGCTCCCAGCAGCAGTTCTGAGCATTTGCTCTCCTTGTCTGGCTGCAAAGTGGGTGTTGGAGCATCCCKTGGTGCTGTTGCGTTGTGCCAGTGATAGGCAGGCTAGTAGGTAGGCAGGTCAAACGGCAGTGCAGAAGAGGCTGCGGGTGCTGGGGGTGCCCAGTGCCACCCCAGTGCACCCCACGAGCTCACCTGGGCATCAGAGAAGGCCGGGTCACTCATGAGGGGTCTTTGCATGTTGCCGAACTTCAGAGCCTCTGCAATGAGGTGGTAGGTTTCCACCCTCTTCTCGAGTGTTGCCAGTGATTCTTCACGGAGCTTATACTCTACAGAGCAGGATGAATATGTTGGTTTAAGGATTCAAGGATATAAGGACTCAAGTCTTGCAGAAAATATTGAAATGAACCTCCTTTTCCTATCCCAGTTCTTACCTGGCCCCCCAGCACTTGAGCAGGATGTGAGAACAGGAACAACCAAGTACCGTTTTTCAAAGTGGCTTTGAAGCCCTGGGAAAACCAGGTGTCCTTTGGCTTTTGCAGTAGCTATGGTGATACTAACCCACTGCAAGAAGGAGCCAGGTCATCTCCAAAGCAGCCTGGGGCATCACCCTGCAGAGCACAGCCTYCCTGCTGCTCTGGGACCTCTCCTGCCATTGTATTCCCACCTACAGCTCTACGTGCTCTGCATGTTCTGCGCAAACCTTTTCCCCTGTGAATTTACCTTCCAGGATCTTGAGGATGAAGAGGAGCACAGCACCTCCCAGGGGTGGCCTGGGCGCAAACACCGTGGTGGAGTTGTTCAGGGTGATGTTCAGAGCCGAGGTCACCTCTGCTTTGTATTCCTTAAGGTCCTCCAGGGAGATACTGGAGCCTTCAAGAGAAAATTGGAGGGCAGCTCTGATCATCTGATTAATATAAATCTCTAGTAGGCACTGGGCTACTATGTGCTATAAAGGCCATAATGGGTGAGTCTTGGCTCTACTGGCATAGGACACACACACACGTTGGGCCTTCCTTGGGAAACAAATACAGGGCAGATAGACAACGCTGCAGCCTGGCTGAGCATGGACTTCTTTCCTACCTGAAAAAGGCTGTTCTACCAAATTTTGCTGATTCTGAGACAAAGCTAGAAACGTCCAAAGACCCCAGTGAATTTGACCTGAAAATATCTAGCCCAATAGTTTCATAGATTTCTGTTTTCTTTAGCTTTTCAGAAATAAATATGTATTTTGATGGAGGGTGTCTCAAGATTTTGGGTGCATCTGTAGATGCCGTTAGGCTGTGGCTGTGAGAAGGGACTTTCACACAGAGATAAAGACCTGTGTGATATATATCAGGTTTCTGGTATATATCAGACATATAAACCAGGCTTCTGGAGAGCACTGCGGGTACCCAAAACCCAAAGCACCACAAAATACTTTGGAATCTCTTCGCTGTGGCCAGTGCCCTGCGCTGTGCCAGGTGCATCCTGCACCCTGTCCTCCTGGAAGCGCAATGAAGGTGAGAGACCCTTTGGAAGAGCCAGGAAGCAGCTTGTCTCCTGGTGTGCAGCAGGGCTGTTACCTACCCGCTCTCCTCAAGTCCTCCACCAGGGCCTGGCCGACGAGGCCCCCATAAAAGGCCGAGGCGCCGCTTTCTGCCACAGTCCTCAGCGTCCGCTGCAGGGCCGGCCACCTGAAGGTCTCTCCAYGCCTCAGGAACCTCTGCCCTTCACAGATCAAGGGGCTGTTAAGGAACATGGATCAATTTCCAGCATTTATTCTCAGAATCACAGAATCAGAGTGGTTGAGATTGGAAGGGACCTCTAGAGATCATCCAATCCAACCCCCTGCTCCAGCAGGGACACCCAGAGCACGGAGCACAGGGCGGCATCCAGGCGGGTTTTGAAGACCTCCAGAGAAGAAGACTCCACAGCCTCCCCGGGCAGCCTGTGCCAGGGCCCTGTCATCCTCACAGCAAAGAAGTTCTTCCTCACCTGGAGATGGAACCTCCTGGGTTTCAATTTACACCCATTGCCCCTTGCCCTGTCACTGGCCACCACTGAGAAGAGCTTGGCCCCTTCCTCCCTACATTCTCCCTACATGTTAATCAGATCCCCTCTCAGCCTTCTCTTCTCCAAGMTGAACAGGCCCAACTCAGTCTCTCCTCATACAAGAGATGTTCCACTCCCTTAATCATCTTTGTTGCCCTCCACTGGACCCTCTCTTCTCTCCCCTACCTGAAGCTGCTCCGGCATTGCCAGAGCCCGCATTATCCTCCTGTCTACAAGCAGAAAAGCTCTTCTTGTCCAATCCCTACCCACAGCAAGCAGTGCTTGCTCCGTAGACAAGCTTTCCTCCCCATGGACCTCTGCCTTGGAGCTGACTCAAGGCAATGGGGCTTCTCCAAACCAAGCATCTGCTGCGCAAGCTATCGTCGGGGGACCATTTCCACACTGTTGAGCTCTCTCAGCAGATGGAGRCAGTCCGTCTTTGGCCAGGTTCCTGGCTGCTATTCCTAAGCAGATGTGCATAGTAGACTGCTTTGCTGTGCCAAGCCACTCTAAACTTAATWAAAAAAAAAAAAAAGATAAGAGTTGCTGACAGAGAAAGATTTTCAAAAAATACTTTTGCTACATCCCCCCCTCCTGCCCTTTCCTCCCTCTCCACAAATATTGACCCAGCAGAAGCAGCTCATGCTCCAGAGGAGCATCAGAGGAGAGGTGTGAGAAGGGGGCAATAGCAACAACCTAATTCATGGCTCTTACCAGAGTTTCCGTCCTAGCTGGGAGAATTTTGAGTGACTGATGATTTTGTCCAAAACGGGGGAAATGGTAAGTGGCTCAGAAAGGAGCTTGATGGTTGGCTCAAACAGGGATTTCCAGGGTAAGCGGCCGTGTCGCTTGTGGGCTTCCTCGTACCCACGGATTTCTCCTGGTACAGCAATCCACTGGGGTCCTGAGGGACACAAGGACAGTGTCGAACCCAGCAGCACCGGCCCGTGAAAACACCCGGGTGAAAATGCACAGCTACAGAGGCAGAGCTACAGCTGCTACCAGCAGACTTGGGTTTGTATTTGCTTTTGCTGCTGCTTTCTTTCTTTCTTTTGTTCTTTCGTTCTTTCTTTCACTACCTGGGAGGGGTTTAGAGAACGTGGAGCCAGGCTATTCTAAGAGGTGCGTGGTGGGAACAACCAGGGATCACGGCMCAGGGTGCAGCAAGGGAGATCCCAAGCAAATGCAAGATGGGAAACACTCCTAAGAAGAGTGATTAAATACTAGAACCGGTATTGGAACCGCTATTGGAAGTGCCCAGTGAGACATRAGATGCTCTGTCTTTGTGGAAGACGTGACAGGACACGGCCCTGAGCCACCTGTTCTGACTGTGGAGACAACCTGGTTTGAGCAGGAGTTGGAGTAGGGATCTCCAACATTCCCTTCCAACCTCAAAGACTCATTCACGGTTCCTCTTCAGGCTCCTCTTCCAAGAAGACAAGAAAAAATCTCCTTTAGGCACTAAGTCATTCCCAGAATAAAACGTGTGAGGCAGGAATGGATGCAGCAGGGAATGTGAGGAGATCCAAGATGTGCTGCTAATCAGGAGTGACAACTGCCAACCCAGCAACAGCAAATGGATGGAGGCCTCCACACACAGTTGCCAAGTGGCAGAGAGGTACAGAGCTGCAGCACCTCAATTCCTGGCGCTTCCAGGCCCTTTCCTGGTCCTGGCACAGGGACAAGCATCCCAGCTTTGTTTCTTTCATTTCCAGGGAATCGGAGAAGTCACTGGCTATAATTTTCTCCCTAACAACTGCTGGGAACTAAGCTCTGGAAATGCAGTTTTCCTCCGAGAAATACTTATGCATGGGTTTCTCCTCATGCCCTGCTCCTCATCCTGCTGACTGGCCAGAGTGCCAGGTTTACTGCTAAAAAAAATTTTTACACAGGCCTAACTCCTTTTCCCTTTTCCTTCCATACAAATCCCTGCAGAAAGAGCCTGAGGAATCAAAGGGGAGCAGAGGGAGGTGGGTGCCCCTAGCCCGTAGTGCTGCCYCATGCCGAGCTCCGCGCCACGCTCCGCACGTCCCCTCTCTGTCCTTACCAATGGGGAGAGCGCAGCCCACGGGCAGGTTGTGCGGGACCACGCGCGGCACCGTCTCGCGGGCGTTGATCACCTCGACCCTTCCTAGGAACGAGAATCACAGAATCACAGAATGGCCAAGGTTGGAAGGGACCTCTAGGGGTCATCTAGTCCAACCTTCCTGCTCCAGCAGGGACACCCAGAGCACAGGGCAGCATCCAGGTGGGTTTTGAAGACCTCCAGAGAAGGAGACTCCACAACMTCCCTGGACAGACTGTGCCAGGACTCTGTCACCCTCACAGGCAAGAAGTTCCTCCTCACCTGGAGATGGAACTTCCTGTGTTTCAACTTACACCCATTTCCTCTTGTCCTGTCACTGGCCACCACTGAGAAGAGCTTGGCCCCTTCCTCCCTACATTCYCCCTTCATGTACTTRYACATGTTAATCAGATCCCCTCTCAGCCTTCTCTTCTCCAAGCTGAACAGGCCCAGCTCACTCAGTCTCTCCTCATGCAAGAGAAGGGGCAAARGAGTAACCTTTAATAACACCAGCCAGGTCGGTCTCACGTCCATCTGCAAGGTAGATTGGCAGCCTCATCGCTGTGGATTTTATCCCCAAATTTGCATATTTTTAAAGATGATTCCAGCCCAAGTGGGTCGTGTACTGAAATGCCATCTCTCATTATAAATGAKATGATGGTGTGTGCATGCCATGCTCTTCCTCAGTGTTTCTAGAGGGCCACTTTCCACACATATTTCCATATSCATCATGCTTATAAGTAGGATGGCAATACTGAAACCCCTTCCTATGTATGTAGGGAGACTGAAGGGGAAAAAAGGGCTCCTTATTTCAAGTCTACCCTAATTATCCCTCCTCCTGCTCTCTGCCTTGTGCCTTCTCTTTTTCCATCCTAGACCACACAGTGGGAGCCCACAGCGCAAGAGCACCAAGCCCAGCAGGGTGCTGGATGGCTCTGCAGAGCCGGCTGATTTAGGCAGCAGCAGCAGAGAAGGTCTGGGGACGGATGGGAAGGGAATTTTGCCAAAAGGGGGAAAAAAAACAGAGGTTTTTGCCAAAACATCTATTTCGTAAGACAGAGCCAAGTCATTCCAGGCTTGTGTCTCCGTGGGTCCACTTGGAAAGGAGCTTTTTTTAAATCATGACATTGTTATTGTTTGCATTGTTGATTTTATTATCTCGATCTCTCGGTTCTGGGGGGAGAAGGCGTTGGGGGGGGCTGATAAGCACGGCAGCCRAAAGGGCAGTAGAAAGGCAAAAGCAGGAACACAACAACCCTGAAGTTAAGCCAAGCACGGGAGGGCTTCCTGGCAGGCCCTGGCAAGGGCTGGATTTGGGTCTCTGAAGAGAAGACACATCCCCAGGGCAGGGGCAGGGATCCCAACACCGCTTTGGGAAGTCAGAGCCATTCCCACACAGATGGAGCGGGACGCAGCGCCACAGCAGCGAGCGAGGCGTCCAGGACGGAGCCCCTGGACCCGTGTTTGGCTCTGAGGTACCGCTCGAGGTTGCTTAGGAGGAGGAAGGGGAYGCAAAATCAGTTCACTTCAGAGCTAAGGCTCCTTCCCACCACACGATCTCTCCAGGTTCACGCTGCAAGACTTGTCAGGACAGCAGCACAGCTCCTGCAACGGGCTCCCGCTGAGGGCAGATGCAAAGAAATCGCATCCCATTTGATGAGAGCAAGCAGCTTTTTGGTTAAAAACCGCACAGACGGTGAGAGCTGCTGGTTCTCCCCGGCCCCGGGGGGCGGCCGGGCTGGCCTACCTGAGCTCGCGTTGTAGATGGTGAAGACGACCCCGCCGCCCAGGCCCGAGCTCTGCGGRTTCATGGCCGAGGTGCAGATCAGGGCGGCGATGGCAGCGTCCACGGCCGTGCCGCCGCTTTCCAGGACGTCCCTGCACCAGGAGGAGAAGAAAGGAGGTCGTTAAAAGCCAAGAATAACAGGACAAGGAGGATGGGACTGTGTCTCCTTAGGGGAAGCACAAGGTGTGCCTGGCACCGCAAGGGAAACCTTGGAATTGCAGGGAGCTCCGGGCAGCAGAGTGCGGAAAGGCTCCTTCCTTTGGGGCAGCGGGACAYGGAGAGAGAAAGTTGATGGGAGGAAGAGGAGGAAAGAGCTGCCAAAGGCCAGAGCTGCACAGGCTCCCGGAGCTCATGCCAGGAGCTGGCTTCATTCCTGGCTCCACACCGGCCTTTCCCGGCACACACTGGACAGCGGGACCAGGACACTGACACGGGAGCAGCAGATCCATCGGGATCATCCCAGGGATGGAACTCCTGGGACTGTTTCACCTCCAGCCTGGAGTGTCCTCCAGGGCTCACCCAGCACCAACCCTCCCTGCACACCTAAGCGCAGGAAAACGCAGCAAGAGGAGAACAAAACGTGCTCGTACCTGGACACGGCCGCACGGAAGCCCACCCTAGGGAGGCAGCTCACGCTGCTCTCGCATGGACCTTCTGCCAGGGAGACCTGTCTCAACAAGTGCCTCCTTCCAGCACAGCCAGGAAACCCTTCCCCGTGCACTGGAGGTTCCTCCCTGCCATTTCGGGCACTGGGATCTGCTGGAAGGGTTTCTGACCACTCAGGCTGCACAGGGTGAGGACCCTGGAACTGCTGCATGCAGAAAAACAGCATGAGGACAAAGGGGATGAGAAGAGGCCGGGGGGAAGCACCGGGTTTCTGCCCCAAGCCCCGTGTGGCTTCCAGCCTCCTGTGGTATCTGCTGCCCTGCACACGGAGGCTGCACTCGGAGCCCTGCTCCCGCTCGTCCCCTCGCTGCAGCGGGAGATTCCCGTTGCTGAAGAGCTGCAGCCTTTGAGCGGATAATAGGAGCAAGGAAGCTCCTGGAGGTGCAGGGCCTGGCAGAGCTTTCAGCGTGCCAGGGCATTAGAGGATGGAAACAAGTCCTAACATTGCCCGCAGAAGCTTGCAGTGACAAACACCGCAGAGGAAGCCCGATGCTGCTCCTTTAAATGCAGAGCATTGGGGTTCATTTAAGTACAATGCAGTTGGACCTTAACATAGAAAAATCAAATACATTTCAGAAAAGTCCCCAAAGCTCCAGATCCTTGCGCCAGGTTCCCAACCATGCTTGCACATGAGAGCAGTGGCTGCATCTCCTGCCCTGCATCTCCATGGGACTTGCGGCCRTTGTCCTTCTGCAGCCAGTGCCACCCACCCTCAGCACATCCACAGGGACATTCTGCATCCTCTTGAGGAGCAGCCCACCTTGGTGAGGCTCCCATTGCTTCCATATCACCTGGGAATGTTCCCATGTCACCTGGGAATGGTCGCTCATCTGCTCCCAAACATGGGTGGTTGACTCCTCACCCCTCACTCCTCACAGGAGCTACGCCAAACCAATGTGTTCTTCGCCGGAAAGGCTCAGCTTGCTCCCAAGGACAGTCCCAGCTTATTAATTTAGTATTTGCACAGCTGTGTCCAGCTTCTGGATGATGCTAAGACCTCCCAGTGTCCTCAGCTGCTTGGTTATAACAGCAGYGTTGAGGACTGAGAACTCGTTAACTACTGCAGATGAGTGTGGTGTGTACAAAGCTCGGAAACCTGAGAGTCCATGCTCCTGCTCCCACATTCCCAGTTGGACCCAGAGCCAGGACAGCACAAACCAGGTAACCCCAGGGCAGAGCGGTGCCTTTGACTCCAAAAGATGGATCTGGCTGCTRGTCCCAGCTGATCCCTAGACTGTAACTCCCATCTACCAAAGGATGAAGATCCCACCAAATTACCAAGACCATCAAGGAACCAGGCGAAGGAGAAGGAGGCTGGTGGCAGGTGGGCAGCACCGCAGGGAGGCTGATGATGAGAAGAAATRTGTAATTTCCAGATGATCTCCAGGTGGTTTATATGCCTGCTTACTGAATATGTTATTGTCACCGTCACCGTCACCTCTGGACATAAGCACCACCTCTAACTGCCTCTCACCCGCTRCACTGATGCTGTTTCCCTCGCACCCCGTTATCCCTGAGGTCCCCTTTCAGCAGACAGGCCCGGCTGTAGCTAAGGAAAAGGAAAGGCAGGAGCCTTGCAGCCAGGCTTGGAGCTCAAGCAAGGAAGCAAGCGGTCCCAGCAAGGGCCAATACATACATATATATAGGAACATATATATATATATATATATATTTATTTATTTATTTATGGGAGAAGTGCTTTTGTACCCCTCTCTCTATCAACATCACAGCAGCACAGCTGAAGAAATTCAATAATAAGATGTTTTGGCCAATATCCTTCCTGCCCCATAATTAAGCTTTAGGGTACAGACATTAATGATGTTTCCTTAATGCTAGGAACAGAGAGGTTGTTAATGAGCAGTTAATCAACACTGGGATTGACCTAGAGCAACAACTGCTTCTCCAGAAGGGTCAGTTGCCAAAGTTAAAAATATCAAAATAAAGAAGAAGGGAAGGCAAATCCTATGGGACAGAAAGATGATCCAGCTGCTGGGTTATGACTGGGATTTTCTCAGCAGATCCGCTGTGTAGAACTGAGATTCCCATGAACACGTTTGGACTTTAATCCTCAGCCTCTGCCGGGCCCCAGGTGGGCAGAGAAGTGGGGCTGGAGGCGGCTGCTGGGCCGGTCACGGCCCCTCATCCCGCTGCACCAAGCCCGTGCTGGGATAAGCTCTTCTCCCACGCCTCGGCTTCCCCTGTCCTCGGGAGCACATGGATGCGGAGGAGGAGGGCAGTGCATTGGCAGCTGGTATGAAATATTTTTGCATGATTTTGGGAAAAAAAAAAAACCCAAACCAAAAAAAAACCCCCAAAAAACAAATCTCTTCCAGTGTTCAAAAGGGATTGGTAGTAACAAGCATGGAGGGGGAGGCAATCATTTGGGGCCAGGAGCTCAGAGATGGAGAGGATGGTTGAACCAAGGTAGTCGTCTCTGGTCTCCGTGACACAAGGATAAGTTACTGGTAGCTTCAGCTACCAAGCCACAGTTTGGGGTGTAAAATGGTGTGTAAAATGAAGTCTCTGCCTTCAGCCGCCTGCTCCTCTTCTTCCTCAAAGTCCTTCAGTTCACTCCGGGCCAACCTTCCAGCAGGGCTAGGCTGGAGATGGACACTCCGTTACGCAATATTCCTGCAGTTCCCRGTTGCCAGAGTCAAAATCCATCCAAAAACCTGACCTCACTCAACACTGGGAACCAGACCTAGCGGCTAGGCTAAGTCAAGCTCAGGACTTGCCAATGTGGGTAATGACACAGTGGCGTCTGGCYGAGATTGCTGGTTTTCTGTAGAGGATCCAAAGAGTTGTAAAAAGACCACAGAAAGGACAACCTTACACATCTGTAGCGTGTGGAAATAGCTGGAGATGGAAAGGAATGAACCCGAGGATAACGGCTGAGCACACGATGGGGAGCAGCAAAGAGGCCCTTGAGGTGTTTTCCCTGCCCCAAGATCCCACCTACAAAAAGATGGGATTGCTCTGAAGGCAGGAGGTTCAGTGCAGTTAGTTCCAAGCAACTCAGCTACAACTGCAAGAGAAGCTGCCCAGGACTGCCTCAAACAACAGAGATTAACCCAGAGAGCAGAGCATGGGGTTGCATTTAAGCATTTTTTATTATTATTACTATTACTATTACTATTACTATTACTATTACTATTACTATTATTTTAAGGAGGGGGAAAATGTGTTTTTTTAATTAAGGCGCAATTTGCAAAACTTAATGAGTAGCTTTTGCAATCGTAGGCACTGGCCCAGAATGACTGGGAGACGGGTGCAGGAAGGGGGACAGCAAAGCTGGGAGGAAGCAACTGCAAAGATATATGAGTGTTTGCATAGAAACATTCAGAAAAAAAATGAGCTAAAACCAGTATGTAGTAAGGAAAAAGAAAACCCATGATTGTTTCTGCTCGTTTCCTCCCTCTTAAACCTCATGACTTTGAGTCATGACTTTGAGACTGGACGATACATGGTGGTATTTTCTGCAAAACTCCAATTACTATAAAATGGCATCTGTGGAGGAGTGGGGCACCCTGGGGCGTCTGGCTCTGCCCAGCCCTTGCTCCCTTTGCTGCTGAAACGAGGAGGCAAATGAAGGGTACAGGTGAGCAGAGCGGGGCCTTATGGCTACAACTACTCTGAAAAAAGTGAATTTTACCCCTCCTGTGGTGACAGAATATCCAGGGGAAAGCAAAGTGCAGGTAGCAGAGGACAGTAAGGGGTACGTGAGTGACAGGGATGAAAGGGAACCCCGGCGCCGAGGAAGCGGGATGGGGCTGGGATGCAGGGGAAGTGCAGCAGGGGTGATGGGGGAGCCTCTTCCGCAGGGCAGAACTGCGGAGGAACCGCGTCAGGTCTGTGCAGCTGAGCTTCAAACAGCATTCCTAAATATGTCACTTTGCATCTTAAAGTCCTCTATAAAAGTCACAATTTTTTTTTTTTTAACTTTAGTCAGAAGTTAGAGTTAGTTAAAGTTACTTAACTTTAGTTAGAAATAAGAGCCCACAACTCCATCCCCTATGTGTCCTACCTGTGCAGGTTTCAGTTCCATCCTTTTCCATTCACGTAAAGAAATGTTTAAAAGAACTGAAGTGATGGTAATAGCAAAATAATAGCGTAAAAGTTGGAATGCACAAGAGAAAAGTGCTATACAGATGGAGCTGTTGCATCGGTGGGAGCCAGAGGAGATCCTTACACCTACACCTTTCCTTTGAGAGATGCTGWTAAGTCCCTTGTGCATTGCAGTTAGCAGTGCAATGCACGGTTAAAGCTTTGCTCCGAGTGCAGCGTTCCTGGAACCGGGAATGCTACTGGGAAGGTTTGCACCCTGCTGCCCATCTGTGCCAGCCCCTCGCCCCCCCCATCCCTCCTTCCTCCAGGTGCTGGAGCCCAGGCAGCCCCTTGTGGAAATCGGGCTGGATTTCCAAAGCTCCGAGCTGCAAACCTTTGCACCCACACCCTACGGATGCCGAGGCTCCCCAAAGGATCTGCAGCACGAGCCGCGGGGAAGGCGACAGGGCGGCCGCCCCGCGCGGGCACCGCTGCCCCCCGCCCCGCGAGCCGCCCGCACGTACCGGCCGATGCGGGAGCAGCGCTCGGTGTCGGCGGCCACGGCG